TCTCTCTCTCCTCTGGGTTTCTCTTTCTCTCTCTCTCTCTCTCTGGTTTCTCCTCTCTCTCTCTCTGGGTTTTTCTCTCTCTCTCTCTGGGTTTTTCTCTCCTCTCTCTCTGGGTTTCTCTTCTCTCTCTCTGGTCTCTCTCTCTCTGGGTTTTCTCTCTCTCTCTCTCTGGGTTTCTCTCTCTCTCTCTCTCTTCTCTCTCTCTCTCTGGGTTTCTCTCTTCTCTCTCTGGTTTCTCTCTCTCTCTCTCTCTCTCTCTCCTCTCTGGGTTTCTCTCTCTCTCTCTCTCTGGGTTTTCTCTCTCTCCTCTCTGGGTTTCTCTCTCTCTCCTCTCTGGGTTCTCTCTCTCTCTCTCTCCTCTGGGGTTTCTCTCTCTCTCTCTCTGGGTCTCTCCTCTCTTCTCCTCTCTCTCTCTCTCTCTCTCTCTCTCTGGGTCTCTCTCTCTCTCTCTCTCTCTCTCTCTCTCTCTCTCTCTCTCTCTGGGTTTCTCTCTCTCTCTCTCTCTGGGTTTCTCTCTCTCTCTCTCTCTCTCTCTCTCTCTCTGGGTCTCTCTCTCTCTCTCTCTCTCTCTCTCTCTCTCTCTCTCTCTCTCTCTCTCTTCTTCTCTCTCTGGGTCTCTCTCTCTCTCTCTCTCTCTCTCTCTCTCTGGGTTTCTCTCTTCTCTCTCTCTCTCTCTGGGTTTTCTCTTCTCTCTCTCTCTCTCTGGGTTTCTCTCTCTCTCTCTCTCTCTGGTTTCTCTCTCTCTCTCTCTCTGGGTTCTCTCTCTCTCTCTCTCCTTCTCTCTCTCTCTCTCTCTCTCTCTCTCTCCTCTCTCTCTCTCTCTCTCTCTCTCTCTCTCTCTCTCTCTCTTTCTCTCTCTCTCTCTCTCTCTCTCTCTCTCTCCTCCCTCCCTCCCCCCCTAATCTATTCTACCCAAGTTTTTTCATGTTTTTCCATTAAATATTTTCATAGCTGGTTTTAGAGTAGGATTTATATTCAAGGTAAAACTTTGCTGATGAAAGAGACAAATTTTTCAAGTAAACATTTTGTTAATTAGTAAACAAAATGCATGACTATGTATCATTCAGCTATGTATGGAGCAGCAGCTGGAGAATCTCTTCCATGGTGGCGTATTTTGTTGTTCAGCAGCATCCTTATGCTTTGTGTCATTAAGGCTCATTTTGAATTGGAAGAGTGAGTTCTGGCTAAGATAGAGCATGTAGTTGAAGTGTGGTGATTGCATACTTTATTGTGGCAAATTAATTAGCTTATGTGGTTCTGTGATTTTGCCATCTGTGGATTCCTTATACCCTTATGAAATGGTATTATGTTATTTGTAACTAAAGACATACAGATGACAAATGTATTTGACCCAGTCATTGAATGATCCCTGCTTAGTAGATTTAAAGGCCAGATGTGGATTTGTATTTTCCTCTCTTCTTTCTCTGTCACAAAGATTTTATTCAGGAGCAGCTTCCCCAACTTTCATTGCGTTGTATATCTTAGTCGTATCACATGATAGAAAATTTGTATATCTAGACTGAAGCAGGAGCACTCTTGTGATCGGTATAACATAATACATGTGGAGAATAAATTGTAGAATGTACACAGTGAACAAAAATTTACCTTTATGTGATAGCTCCTTTGCAACTATATGACATTCTTCTCTTGTTCTACTATTTTTCCATAAAATAAAGAGGGAAAAAGTATGGAAATAAAAAGGCATTAGGTATCTAGATAAAAACTGGAATAGGGTAAACAATCTAAAAGGTGATGCAGAATGAGAAGACAGGCAGGAAACTGTTGGCAGTATGGGTTTCTGTAAATGGAGGGGAGTGTCCCAACAGTTTAAAGATTAAAATGTGTAGATGTAGACTGATGAATCGACAGATAGGTGAGTTGGTCCCTCATTTCAGAGATAAAGAGAGAGAATTAGCAAAGTAGACATGCTTAGAAGGTTATCAACAAATTATATAAAAAGATATGTATACAGGTGAATGCTTTTTTTTTTTTTTTTAATCATAAAAAGTTTAATATTTTGCCTTGATTCTCCTGTTAGTCTTACATAACATCCCATGTTCATGGAATAGCATGACAAACATGTATTTGCACAAGCACCTGCACAGGCACATACATACAAACGCATGCACAGCCACCTGCACAGGCACTTACACAGGCACCTGCACAGGCACTTACACACAAACACACAGAGGCACCTACATACAAACACGCAGTGGTACCTGCACAGTCAATTACACAGAAATGCAGAGGCAGCTGCACAGGCACCTACACACAAGCATGCACAGGCACCTGCACGCAAACATGCACAGGCACATGCAAAGGCACTTACACACAAACACATGCATAGGTACATGAACAGGCACCGGCACACAAAACGCTGAAAAGGCATCTGCACAGGCTCCTAAACACAAGCACACATGTACACTCACCTGTACACATGAACATAGATATGCACAGTCACCGACACACATGCACATGCACAATTACCTGTATAAAAACACACACACACACACACACACACACACACACACACACACACACACACACACACACACACACTTGTACACACGCACACACACTTGTACACATGCACACACACTTGTACACATGTACACACACACACACACATGTACCACACACACACACATGTACACATACACACACACATGTACACACATGCACACACACACACACATGTACACACATGTATACACACACACACACACACATACACACACATGTACACACACATGTACACACACGTACACACGCACGCGTACACACACACGTGTACACACCCCACAACACGTGTACACATCCACACACACATGTACACAACACACACGCACACACACACGTACACACACATACACGTACACACACATACACGTACACACACGTAGACACATGTACACACACATATACACACCTATAGACACACGTACACAAATGCAGACACATACACCCACACATACATACACATGCAGGTGCACGCACGCACGTACACAGGCATACACACCCACCCATATGTACACCAACACCGCGCACACTCAGACACACACACATGTACACACGCACACAATCAATACACATGTACACACGCACACGTACACACATTGCACACACACACGTACCCACGCACACACATACATGTACACACGCACACACACATGTACACACGCACACACATGTATATGTACACACATGTATATGTACACACACACACACGTGCACACACACATACACACACACGTACAACACATACCCACACCACACCCCACACACACGCATACACACATACCCACACACACGCATACACACCCACACACACATGTACACACCCACACACACACCTACACACCCACACACACCTACCCACACACACACACACACACACACACAACACGTACACACACACACGTACACACACACACACACGTAGACACATGTACACACATATACAGACCTGTAGACACATGTACACACTTGCAGACACATACACCCACACATCCACACACACGTACACACACATGTACACATACATGTAAACACACACACATACATACACATGCATGCACACATGTACACAAGCATACACACCCACCCACACGTACACATGGACACACACTTGCACGCATACGCATATACACACACACACACACACACACACGCACATACACCACACACACACACACACACACACGCTCACACACACACACGCCTCACACACACACATGCTCGCAACACACACACACACACACATGCTCACACACACACACACACACACTCACACACACACACACACACACACACACACACACACACACACACCACACAAACACACACACACACACACACACACACACGCACACACACTTGTACACATGCACACACACACACACACACACACACACACACACAACACACACACACACACACCACACACACACGCTCTCACACACACACACACACACACGCTCTCACACACACACACACACGCTCTCACACACACAACACACACCACGCTCTCACACACACACAACACACACACACACACACACACACACACACACACACACACACACACCACACACACACACACACACACACACACACACACACACACGCTCTCACACACACACACACACACACACACGCTCTCACACACACACACACACACACACACACACACACACACACACACACACACACACACACACACACACACACACACACACACACACACACACACACACAACACTCTCTCTCTCTCTCTCTCTCTCTCTCTCTCTCTCTGCCTTCTCTCTCCTCTCCCCCCCCTACCCCTCTCCTCTCTCTCTCTCTCTTCCCTCCCCTATCCCTCTCTCTCTCTCTCTTTCTCCCCCTACTCTTTCTCTCTCTTTCCCTCCCCCTATCCCTCTCTCTCTCTCTCTTTCCTTCCCCCTATCCCTCTCTCTCTCTCTTTAATTCAGACACATACTCGCTCTTATATAATGTAGGTGTGAATTAAAATGTTTACTACATTAACACAAGCATGTGGACACTTAACTCTACATGTAAATTTTAAAAACAATACTGAATATGGAAACATCAGTAATGAAACAAATATATTTTCTTGCTCTTTGCTGTATTTATTTATTAACCTTTAAAGTAGCATGAGCAGTAATTATGCATCGACTTGTGTTTTTCCCGCATGTTGAGATGATAGTTCACAGATTAATTGGTTTATATGCATGCATAATTGTCATACGAATATTTGATTGCATAGTCTTTCCATATTTTTGCTTACTTTTCAATTGTTTAAGATCATCAGATTTGTTATTGTTTCATACAGTATCTTCCACTAGTAACTTTTTGTTACATATTTCATTTCTTTTTGTTCACTTGTTATTCTCCCTTAGTCTTTTTATTTTCGTGAATGATCATCTTTGATCTGCATTGTGGGGCAGGCTTGTAAACTAGTAAATGCTGGTACTGACAGTCCTATCTTTCCTTTGCAGAATCCGAGAGCCAGTGGTAAGACATCGGAACGAGGCTTTTGATGAAGATTCGCTGTCACTAATAAACAGTGGAATGTGATGTTTTGTCCTATTACTTTTGTTGGTGTCTGTTTTTTATAATATGGTTCACATTGGCCAATCCTAAGGTAATACGCTACATATGCTAATTTTTAAGCAGAATGGGAGCCATGGTATAAAAAAATGGTAATTCGCATTGTAAGTGTTGACACATTGAAATGAGAAATTTTATGAATATTAATTTTTTTTTCTGTTTTGGTACCTTTTGTTATTGGTCATGTTAATGAATTAGCTAATTTTCACAATTTTAAGATGACTACTTTTGTTTAATCATAATGGGAGCCATAGTATAAAAAATAATTTGTGTAAAGAAAATTATAATGGTTGAAAAATAATCTTAATTTTAAAATATTGGAATAGAGAAATCTGCAAACAGAAAATGTGCAAATAGTACATGATTTGACATTTGAGGTATTGGCCCATTTTCTTAGATTTCTTATAAATGTTTTCTAACCCCTTTGATCCGGGTGATGTTACCATCACGTCACAAAAAAAAATTGGGTTGAGGGCCGGGTGATGTTAACATTGTGTCATAGAACAAAATTTTGGCCATGGGCCTGGTGATGCAAACTTGCCATCATGAGTGAAGGCCAGGGTGATGGAAAAGACTCGCCACGAGTGCACAAACCCTTTGGTGGGTGATTACTAATTTGACATTTAGAAGGGGGCTTTTGCATTATTCCCAATGATAAATGAGTATGGAATGTAATGTTCGTGAGCCATGACTGGAAGATTACCAGCTCTAAGGAGGACACTATTTCCACGCTCAGCATTGTATTCCTGGCCACTGTGACCGGCGGTCCATTTTATATTATGTAAAATTGAATATTATGAAAAAATAAAATCTATGACACAAGTAACAAAATGTTAATTTTTTTTTTCTTGCACTTATATATTAGCTACAAAGAGAGATGACATGGAGTTTGCAAGGAAAACAGTCTATTACCATTTGGATAAAGCAAATCCAAAGACAAATATGGACATTGGAAAATGGCAAAAAAACTTTTAAAATGTTTATACAAAATAATTTTGCAAAGGGGAGGCATGGACAAGTGGCACTGCACGTGAGTATTCATGTTCGCATGGCCTACATGCTGCATGCCCGGCAGATTGGACACTTGCGTAACCTAATGGCCGTATTTTCGGTCATGTGATTGGCTTGATGCAACTGGATCCAAGGGGTTAATTGTATGAAAAAAGAAAAAAAAAAAAAAAAAAAAAATTGTTTGTTGCAAGAGGTATGAATCCCACAAGCTCTGCCCTGTCCATTACTGTTGACTGTGAGAATTGCAAAATCAGTGATAAAAGACTCAAGCTTGTGTTAGTAGAAGGCTTAAGAAACCTGAAACCTCTTTTAGGTTTTACATGCCTTTATTATATTGTTCATTTGATAAAGAGTCCTGATTGCTGATATTGCAAAGTGTACAGAGCTCAACCAAAAGTTATAATCACTGTCGGCTCTTTTCAACAATACGTTGGTGCATGTGTCTGTGTGTGTGTACATAAGAACAGTATATAAATGCTGTAGAATATACTGATAATATTGTTTTATGGAACTTGATACTCCATTGATATTATACAAGGGAATGTTGTATAGAAAGGAAATGGAATTTTCCTGGTGCATTGGGATTTATTTATTATATTTCAATTTCTTATAATGTGTTTATGGTGCTGTAAGGGTTAGATTGCAATCCACTATCTAGCTTTGTGAACATCCTTAGGTATGTCATACAATCATTTGCTTTCACATTTACTGCTTATCAGTAATCCATTGTAAAGTGGAGAAAGTTTAGAGAATTTCTGTAGAATTGGAAGCAGTGTAAACTTGCTGATTAAAGTACCAGTGTTTATTGGTATGAATTCAGTCTTGTCTTGTTAAAAAGATAACGAGAAATGCATTAAAAATCAATGTCACTTGTATATGCTGTGTAGAGGATATATAAGACTATAAAATGCAGCTAAAAGCATCAGAGCATATAATGGATGAAGTAATCTAAAATATAAACAGGTAAATTCTTTATTGTACCAATTTCTCCATGAGAGTCAATAAGTTGTAACGTTATTCTTGATGCTGTTAACCTTAATAGTAACCCTTTATTATCAGAATATTCTACTGCATCTGTAATTATATTTTGTATATGTATATTTAACATAGGATATTTTTTGTAGTATATAAATTTGTATCATTTTGCATTTTATTTGTAATTCATATTTAAATACTGTGCATTTTTTAAAAGTGATTTTATTTAGATGGAGATATTATTTATAGATAGCTTTTGATTTTGGATTTGATGGTTGAGATGGTTAAGCAATAAGAATAATTCCAATACTATGATTCCATGTTTTCTTTAGTTTGGTATTTATCATTGAGATGCAGATATAAAAAAAAGAAAAAAAAAAATTAGGCTACTTCATATAAGCAATTTTTGTTTCTGTGTTATACTGTCAAGCAAAATCTCTCCATGATAACTTCATATATTGTTTAGATGAATGCGTAATGTTTGTATATGTGAATGAAAAGAGAGATACTTGATTGTAATTTTTGGTCAAGTGTTATAAACTATGAGATGAAGGTTGTTGTTAAAAGATTGTTTATGGGATATTTTTGTAAACATTATCTTGCAGGTTACAAGCTGGCTTGTTGAGGTCCTAAGAGTTTTTTTTTTATTTTGATGTATTAGTGTGACATTAATTAATGGGGTAGGATAGGGTAGAAGAATCCATAGTATGAGAATGATTTTTAGTTGTAAAACTTATGATCAGGTATAACTTCTTACAAAACAAGCAATCCACAGCATACCTGTCTTTAAGGAATCCTCAGGTCAGATTCTGAAATATCACCTGAAACCTGGAGTGTTATTGTGGCAGTTGGAGGTTCATAGGAGTAGTTGCCTCTGTGATGGCATGAACTAGTGTTGTTACTCCCGTGAAGACACTTTGTTCCATCAGAGTCTGTCTTCTCACATATTCAAGAAGACATGTTACTCTTTCTGCCACAGAAGGATCATTGAGTGCTGAGGGCATGCTTCTGTTGATGACCTACATTTAACTCCAGTAAATACATTTTGCATGTCCATGTCAAGTTTTATTTCAGCGTTTGGGGCACATGACTGAGAATTTGATTTTGTTCCTGTACCACTTTTCAAGTATATCAACTAAGTCATGAATCATAAACTTAACTATAATATCAGTATTGCTCAGCACTTCTGGATTTAGGGTTAACTTCACTAGATCCTGAAATGTTTTAAATCATTTTATTTTATAGAACTGGTTACTTAAGCTATAAAACACTGATCATGCACATTGTATCAGTATTAGGGGAGCCTGGCCAAACCAACCATCCAAAGTATCTGTGCACTTAGATTTATTCCAGTAATATGAACTGGGAGACTTAGAAACTTTTCAGTAGATATGTGTATATGTATATATGTATACAGGTATATGTGTAAATCTTACCATCTTTGCCTCTAACTTTTACTTCTCCTTTCTCTCCTCCATCTTCACCTTTACGAAAGTTTTCCAGAAGGAATTTTCCCTATCTTCTCTGAGCACATATACAGTACACATACGCATTACACATACACACACAGAGCAATTTGATAGATGTGTATTTGCATACTTATAATTAGATTTTCTTTTTTTTATATAAACTTTTGTTGTATTTTGATCAAGCTCTGAAGTTTTCATTGCTTGCCTGACGAAGAGTACATGAAATGCAACATTTTGGTGATGAAATTATTACATGTATTTTTCTGATTTGAGACGTCCGATTACTTAAATCTAATAAAGTTTTGAAATAGAATTCTGTACAAAAGTTTTAGATTTTTAATGTATGAGTGATGTATTCAAGATTAACAATTGTGTGAGTGATAGTTAAGTATATACTCATGTTAGTGTAAATATATACGTGTGTAAAGAGGGAAGTAAAAGTCATGATGAATGATGAATTATATGCAGCAGAATCTATGGCTTTTATTCCACAAAGTAATTTTTATAATTTTGAATCCTTAGAACTTTGAGAAAAGTTTTCCAACATATATTTAAAATGTATGATTTTTAAAAAGAATTTGACATTTGTAGAACATTAAGACTTGCCTTTAATTACATTATGTTGTCTTACGTCAGTTAGCTTGTTAAAATTCTTGTGCAAGGGTAATATTAGTTTTCTCTTGTGATTGTCTAAATTATTTCCTCACTAAAATGTGAAAGTTTCTGCCTAATAATGCAGAATAGTGTACCTCTTTCTTCAGACAAAGACTGGTTATTTCTAAAGATATTCTAATGGGGTGTAGGAAACCAAGTAGGAGGTGTATATTGAAGATTACCTCTTCTATATAGCTGTTGCAGGTTCTGGAGTTGCTTTGTTTTGTGTGTGTCTGTGTCAATCTTTTTAGAGTTCAAAATAAAGATTCACAGCTAAATGAAATTTCTATATCCTTAAAATTCTTCCCAATGCCTTGCTCATTCTTGCTGTGGGAGGGCTTAGGAGACGGAGACTGAGGCCCAAAATTAGTTGTCTTTTGTTCTCCCCTTTTCTCTTCATGAATGGCCTTCAATAGCCATGGGCATGGTATTCCCTTGGTTAATTGCCTAGCCACTACCCCTTATGGGGATCCTAAGGGGCAGACGGTTTCTTTTCCCCATTTTATCCCCCCAATCCCTTGCCCGTTGTTGTGGGGGGCTTAGGAGACGGAGACTGAGACCCAATGCAGGGATCTCCCCTGCTTAGGGCCTCAGCCCTCGACTCAATAAAATTTGCATGGTCTTTTCTCCCTCCAGTTTTGTTTCCGTCCCTTCTCCAACCCCTTCTACTATCTACTTCCTAAGGTGTAAGAGCCGTGCTGAATGGATGAAAGGCTGACCTTGTGCCAGTCCTGAACGGCCTGCGGGAACCATGGGCATGGTATTCCCCTGATTTAGTTGTCTCCCTTAGGGGGCACTGGGGGGTGGACTGTTTATTTGCCCTACATAATCAAGGCTTCCCATGGCCAGTAATGAAGATGTAATACCCTTATTAGGGGCAACAAGGTATGCCCGTTCATCAAATAGCCCCACCAGTTCAAACTCTCCCGGCTCTCTGACCCCAAGCTCTCCTTTGACCACGACTCTGAACACTGAAACTACTACCCACTCCTCAATGCCTATGAGTGCTTTACCCACCCAAGCCGAGACTCAATCTCCAGAAGACATTCCTACCCTCCCAACTTCCTCAAATTCATCAACTCTACCCCCACAACCTTCTTCATCAAGCACCCCATCTTTCCTTATTACTACCTTACAGCCTTATTCTCCATCTCTCCATAATACAACAATACTCCCTCTTCCACATGTCCCCGACCGTCCACCACCACCAACCCTACAAATATCTTAAATACTCTCTTTAGTCCAGTTAGATGGGACCGATTTTTCATGATCCCTTCTACAGCTCCTTAGACAACACTTCTCTTTCAACAATGCCTCCAAAAGCAAGTGGGCAGAGTCCCTTTCCTTACCAGACGCGATCGTTCCCGTCTTGCAACAGTCATACCTGAAACTGAAGCTATAGCATTATCAAATCTAACTGATCACTCTGGCAACCCCATTCCTGCAGAACCTCATCCAGCTCTTAATACTTGTACCGGACTGTCTCTATCTCCCCAGCAAACTGCCCAGTCGATACCAAAGATTCGTCAGACTGTGGAAAAGACTTACTCGAATGCCTCAAAGACCAAGACGTGGAATCAATACATTGCTACACCATTCCTCTTAAAGGTCATCGAAAGAAGCATGACCTTCCTTTACTTACCTACATTGGTGGACAATCCCTCCCTGTTCGACCATACCAACCTCCTCCTCATCAATGTCAAAACAGTTGGCGCTTTGGACATCCTGCCAAACACTGCCGTTTGATGCCCCATGTGTGCCCAACCCGGTCATAACCAATCAAACACGTACATGTGCTAACTGCGTCGACCCCTATAATGTATTTTATAGAGGCTGTCCCACTTACAAGTTTGAGTTTGTGGTAGCAACTCAAATACAAAAATGGTCTTACTTCACGTGAAGGCATACAGGAAGCCCATCAACAAGGTTTCTCTCATACTCCCTACTATAGTAATATCGATCGCTCTTCCCCCACCCCCCTCCACCCCAAGATGTTCCTACACCCTCTACTATACCTACATACTTCCCCACTTCCACTTCTATATTCTACCTCCCCCAGTCAAATTCTTTTGTCACTAAATCCAGACACCCCAATCCCAACCACAGCTCCAATCTCAACTACAGCCCCAACACCATCCCTTCTCCCTCTCCGCACTACCCGCATTGGACAGACTAAACGTTCCACCCCTTCTTCCCCTACCGCACACTCACCTCCACCTACCTTTACCTTTATTCCTCGGACACCAGTCTCCTCTCCCCCCCACTCATAAGAAAACCTTTGTCTCACAAAACTCTCCAACCAACTCCACTTCAGAAACTATGGAAGATATTCAAAGCTATATACTTGAGACACAAAATTCCATCTCATGCTCCCCCCACACTTGTAGTGATTGCCAATATCCATACCCCTCCTACTCATATTCCCCCTACACCCGTTCCTCCTATTCCTTCTCAACACAACCTAACCCCCTCAATTCCGTCCACCACCGATATCCAGCCTCCCGATACCCATCCTCCTGATATCCATCTCCCTTAATCATAGCCCCGAAACACCACTTCCTCCTAATCCCTCCCAAGACAACACATCCCCTTCAACTCCAACTATCCATTCTTCCGATATCCATCCTCCTACCACTAATATTCCCTACATATCACTTCCTCCTACTCTTTCCCTACACAACCCACCCCCTCAACTCCAACTACACGCACATTCTCCCTCCCTCCATCCCCTCTATCCTTTCCACTCCCTCCTGGATACACACATGAATCACTCGTCACAACAATGCCTTTCCCCAGGTCCCCCACCTCCTGATACCCCTCCTTCACACCACCTAGCTCCTTTCCCTCAGATTCCCCAACACGTACCGGCGCTGTCACTCATAAAATAACCAAGATATAGCTCTCCTACACTGGAATATTCGCGGTTTCCGTTCTCACAGACCGGACCTTCGTCATATCCTTGCTTCTTATAATCCACCCATTATCTGCCTCCAAGAGATTTTCCTTACACATCCTCCTATTCCAATTCCCAATTACCATTTTATCTCTTCCTCACACTCCCTTTATGTCTAGTCTAAACTTATCCATCATAAAACACCTTATGTCATACCTCCCTTACAAACCATTGTCCCGTGCAAGGTCTATATAAGTACAGGTCTCGTCACTAAGGGACTCAAATTCGTCCGTCTTGCGCATGACGTCATCTGGAGCAGAGCCTGGGGTTCCACGCTAATCGCGTGGTCATTCTTTGGTGTGAGGTAGAGCCGTAAGGATCTCTCCCTCTCCGTTTTCGCTCGCTTGACTGACTGGCGCGCGCAAAGTCACAATGCCCAGTGGTTGGTTGCAGCTTATATATGTACATTTATGTGTATATTTATGTATTGCTATATTATTATTAATTATTATTATTATTATTGTTATTGTTGTATGATTCGTTTTATAATAAATTCATCAAAAACATTTGGAGTTTACATATGCCATGTCTTTTTTATTTATTTTACGTCCTTATTATGCCATGTCTAAGCTGCAACATATGAATAACAAAACTAAATTCACGTAGAATATATGATATAGGCCTACAAACAATCGCTGATAATCATCGCCTGCAAAACATGTCCAATAAGCAAATCGTTCAACGTGCCGACATCTGAAATTACTCAAGTATCTGCTCATTTACTACCATTTTCTATTATCTATGTCCCTGCCTACCATGCTCTAATTCCCCCCGCCCCCTTGCTCTCAGCTCCTTCTAGGTGACGTCATAGGCCTTATCACCCAAAGCTGCGCGGAACTCCGAAGTGACGAGACCTGTACTATATAGACCTTGGTCCCGTGCACAGTTATTCGCATCTTTCTTCGCCGTTGGATCACAGTGATTTCAGTCAACTTCTCCCCTTCCCATCCCATTGACTTTGTTGCCTTTGAAACTCTGATTTCCCAACTCCAACCACCTTTCCTGGTAGTTGGATCACAGTGATTTCAGTCAACGGTAGTTGATTTCAACTGCTGCCACACTCTGTGGCGCTTCGGTTAAAACGAGCAGTCTGGAACAGCTATCGCTACAAACGAGGTACCCCTTACCAGCTATCAGCTCTTATCTCTTTAAAAGTGCATCTGCCCATCTTCGCCGTACAATCAGAAACAGTAAAACAGCTGGCAAAATTATGTTTCCTCAATTACATCTACATCTAGTTCAGTTGTTTGGCGTCTGATCCATAAATTATCAGGCAAACATCCTAACCCCGTCCTCCATATTTGAGATTCATCTCTGCTTCTACTGAAGCAGAGATGAATGCGCGACTATTTCAGCCAGGTCAGTAGTAGTGGTTAACCATTAACCATTCCCCATTTTATTTAGGCTCTCGTGGCCAATAATGAAGATTCTTTGCCCTTAATAAGGCCATTAAGGTTTGTCTCTTGATCAACAAGCCTATCTAAATTTGATTTTGATGGTTTTACGACCCCCGCCCTTCCCTTGATCACTGATGCTAATACCCCCTCCTCGATGCTTACTGACAAATATATCCATTCCAAAACACCCACCCAGGTTATTACTCGCCTCCAGAAAGCACCACTTCATCTCTTGCAACATTCTCCCCTCCATCTCCTACTGCACAGTCCTCTTCAATGTCTACCCCTCTTCCCTTATTACTTACTACTCTTCGTCCTTATTGCCCCCCCCCCCCCGCAGAACTACTACAATCCACACGTACCACCCCATCTTCTCTCCCCCTCGTCCTTCTACTGCCTCTACCTCTGCAAACCTGTTGAGTACTCTTTGGCCTAGCCAAGTGGGATCGATTCTTGATTCCCCCCACAGCCCCTTATTCTGGGAATATCCATCTCTTTTAACAGTGCCTCCAAAAACAAGTAGGCAAGGTTACCTTTCGTAGTCGCTCCGATCGTTCACGCCTTGTCACAGTTACATCTGAATCCCAAGCTCGTGCACTAGCTACCCTGACTGACCTCACTGGCAAACCCATTCCTGCCGAATCTCACCCCTCTCTTAATCCTTATTCTGGAACGGTTTCTATCCCTCCAAATGCTTGTCCTACAAGGACTAGTGAAACTGGAAAAATGACCTACTTACCTGCCTTGCTGATTACGATGCAGTGGCAGTACAGTGTTACACTAATACTCTCAGGGGCCAGCATAAGTCCCATGTCAATATTGCCAAGATTAGCTTCCGTAGACATGACCTCCCCTATGAAGTTTATGTTGGTAGATTGTCCTACCATGTCCAATCATATCGACTCCTTCCTCGTTAGTGTCAGAAATG